GTCCGTCGTCTGTGTGTGTCAGTCTCCTCTTCCAGAAAAGGCCATGAATGAGGGAAGGTGATTGATACTTTTCAGGCACAAGATAAGTCCTCGGAACATAGACTCGTTGAAGCTTCGTCCTTAGCAGAACAAAGATCAACACCTCCACACCAAACACGGCCGCTGCCACGGCTAACGAAGCCAGGAAGGACTCCAACGACATTCCCTCCTCCGACTGCCCCTTCCCAGCGGATTTCCCTATCGCATCCGCGACATTTGTCGACGTTATTGTGCTCGAGGAATTACTCATGTTTGTTCGTCAAAGTGGTGTATCGTACTAGATGAAGTACAGCAAAGGTCGTGGTAAAAAAAAAAGAAAGAAAGAAAGGTAGTCTAACCAGAAACCAGAATAGAATCCTCAAGCTGTCAAAGGCATTGAAGTTGGAAAAAAGAGGGCAGATAAAGATGGAATAGAAAGGGAAGGAAAAATTGAAAGAGCGAAAATCAAGAAAGAAGCTCTAACCCCTAACGCTACCTTACTGTAAAGACGACAAGGAGAAGACCACAACAGGACGGGGGGGCGAAGATCAACGACGTAGCTCCTGAGTAATGTAAACAAGGATGAATGAATGAATGAATGACCAAAGAATGAAAAAACGCCCACCCAGCGGACAAACCGATGACAGATTCCTTCCTTCCTTCTCGCTACTACCAAGTTTCTTCAATCGATGCACAAGGAATCAAAAAAAGAGAGAGCGAAGATCCCCCATACAAGTACTCTGTGCAAAAAGCCTGGAACAAACAATGACGAGGGTATTAGCGCGGTGGGTTACAGAAATGGACAAGACCCTGCCAGGGTCCCTTGGCACAGCACTGGTAACTTATTGGAGGAAGTCAAGGGTTGGCTAAAAATGACTTCATCTAGATTTGATTTGCACCTCCACCCCTTGAAACAGGTCTTTTTTTTCTTTTCTTTTTTTCTCTTTTCCCGTCTTTCCCGTCCTACTTTCTTTCAACGGTTTTACTCTACGAGTACCACCGGTACCGTACTCGAGTATTGTTTAGTAGGCGCTTCGGGGGCAGGGGGTATTTTTGGGGCGGGGGAATGATTGGAGGCCGCCGGGGGGATGGGGGATGTTGGTGAAACGGGGGCAAAATATGTAAATAAAGAATGATGTGTTTCCTTTCACACACTGCTGAAGGCTAGAGGTCGTTTGGGTCGCTGTCGCTGGGAAGCCAGTTAGACTACGGTTCCCCTATTCTCGAGTGTAATTGGGCGGTGTGCTATGTCGTTGGGGTTGCCTCCTGGCGAAGGTAGGATCTGGTGTTTTTTTTTTTTTTTTGCGCCCCTTTTCCAGAATAGGAAATTCTCGACTACATTGAACAACAGCTCGGCTGTTTGGGGTTAAGCCACAGGAGTTTTTTAACTTTACTTTGCGGGTACTTGTACCGCATGATAGAGAAGTTTGGGGCATGATACAGCGGCCTCCCGGTGCTCCAGGGACTTATGATAAAAGGCTCGGTTGGGGAATACTGTACTGTACTCGTGATTTTGTGACGTTTGCGAACACAACGGTCCGCATATGCGGTCAAGGGGTGTGGCCGACGCTGGATATCTGGATATCGGTGGGACTCTTGAAATGCCCAAGGAGATACCCGTAGTGTGAGGGTAAATTACAGTACTCGTACAAGTGGGACGCAGAAAGCGAGTGGGCGCCAAAACGGCAGATTTCACACAAAGATATCACACTGGAGAAAATTCACAAAAATATAAACTATCCAGAAAATCATCAAAGGCAGTAAGGACATCATTTTCTACGCACAAATTTCTACTCAATTCCTAACCCCTTAAGAGTTATTTGCTGCTGAACTTTCAGATTCCGCCAAGACACAAATTCCTCACCAAGAGAAATGGTCTTGGCGGAATTTTGGGAGGAAACTTTTATTCCCTCTTGATAACTTTACTACTCTTCAGAGGATTAGAATTCAGCTAAGGTTACTACAGCCTACATATTTCCTGAGCACTTTATGATGTTATCGTACAGTATTTTTAATTCAAGTATTGGTGCCGGAATAAGTGTACAAAATTGGCTATTCCCGGTATAAAATCGCTTGTGCCTACCCACTTTCTGCGCCCCACCTGAGCCCCACTGTAGAGCACCATACCCAGATTTTGGTTTGCCCGTGACTCAGGGAAGCTTTTTCTCTTTTCAATATCATGCTTGAATATTGTTAAAAATTTTATGTAGAATATATCTATTATTTTTTGCATTGTAAAGAATTTGAAGAATTATTATATGTGGGAAAATAGAAATACATATTCCTTGATTGTTGTATAATATGTTTGCATTCTCATTTTTCATTTTTAATAATCGAAATAGTAATTACTACTTTATTTTTGAGTCTTCTTTAAGCTTTAAGGAATGTATAAATTAACTAAATCGTAGCAAGTTTACTTAGGTCATTTCATTTTTTGTTACAAGCTTTTCACTTCTATGAAATTAGGAATCAACAATGGTACTTTATAATATACTAGAACTTGATACTATTTAAAGCTTATCCACAATCTCTACCCCTTATAATAAAAATGATACCAACTTATAAGTTGGTATTAAAGAGCTACAATAATCCCTCTCTTAATACAATTAATCTCTTTCCATTAAATCTATGGAAAAGGTTTCGCTGGATACATTTTTTGAAATTATTTGAGCTTACCAGTGTCCAACTTCGATTTCTGTAGAAAGAATAACATTCTATTCCTTTGCAGCTTCAATCTGCAATTGTTTTACAATACCCTGACTCAGTCTTAGATTATCTCACCTGAATATCATACTTTCTCTCATCCTGAGTAAGCGGAAAAGGTGTAGTAAAGACAGCCGGGAGAATCCTAGTTCTGTCAGCACCAGAACTGAGTTGGAAGCAGTAAGGTACGGAAATGACGAGATGGTTCAAGCGAAAGGTTGATAACATTCTAGGAAACAAGGAGCACAGCAAATATGCTACTTGGCTCCATCGATAATTATAATTCGAGCAAAAAAAAACCAAAAAAACAATCTCCGAATGGTTTATCTATCTATGATACCGGTAATTCTCCATAGCAACATTCGGGCCTGGGATACTAGTTCAATATCATTCGCAAGGCGAATATTCTGCTGCCCTGGGTGCTCAGAGGATTAGCTTTACGTTACTTGTGCTTTAGCATTGCTTCAGAATGATTGGCTATCGGGGTGCGATCCCAAGTGACTAGTCCGACCCATGGTCCGGTCGGCAAACCGGCCAGTCTGGCCATGATTCTGAAGCCCCTGGGTCAGTATCACACTGCTTAAATTATTCGCCAGCAGCAAAAAAACCGGCGGGCCCACACATTTCTTTGCTGTACTGACATCCTTTCTCCCCCAATTTCCCAAAACACAAGAAGAGCTGCCAGCAATATGCTGTTATTAATGGATTGCTCGTTTTTGAGTCCACATTCACTCCTGTTTCCTAGAGTATCGGTGTTAATATGACGCCGCTCAAGTCAAACCACAGATATCTCATTTGTGCCCCCCCGCTAAGGATCTCTCACTCGAACCCACTCACTTCATACTACTGTACCGGACAGAGATGATAACTCCTGACAGCACCCACCCACATCCCACGAATAAAGGCAAAGCTATGAAAAGCCCCATGATGAACCTTTGCGATCATAGAGGCTCACTCGCATTGCAATCTATGGCTAAGTCCTGATCTGAGAAGGAGAATTCGGAAGACCGATACCAAGAGGCTTAATAGCCACCTTCCACCCCCCACAAAATCTCCGAGTCGACTCAAACGCAGAACGGAGTAGAAAGTGGCCTACCACTCACATCCCACCCCAATGAGCCCACTACCCCTTCTAGAGCAGAGCGGAGGCCCATGTGGGTAGACCCGGCTTGCATTCACCTAACGACGGGCCTTCCGGCAGACAAACCCTTCACTGAGCGTATGCCGGAAGACTTGCACCGGGGCGGCCATCTTTTGGCATGCCTTCTTCTCCTAGTTCTTCCAGAGCACGTAATGCTTGACGACTTTTGGCATTCACAGCTTGCGCTACCGGTATGTTGGGTGTCTACCTTTGGACTAGGGTTGGTTGGCTAGCTGCTGGTTGCATACGGCAAGGGTTTATACATTATATGATAAGAATGCTGTATGATACCTCAACCGAGAAAAAAATTGGAATATCATACAATGCCGAGAGTAAAACCTGACAGTTGTAGTGGATGTACAACTGCATTAGTCTATAGTGGTAAGGCCAATACCCCAGAAACTCTTATTATTTACCACTGGGTTATTGGTGGAAATTACCTACCACCTTAGTCAACTATACAGGGTCTTGCGGAACGGACAAGAAAAGTGCGTGGAAAACGTCAAGTATTATCAAGACAAGAGTGGAGGTACCGTATGATACACAAAGTGAAGGGAACTGCTAGAACTCGGGCCTATAGGAATGCATGCTCCGGGAACTTTAGTCTCAGGCGAGAAATGAAGAAACCTTTCAGGTTTTTCTCCCCACCCCAATTTAATTTTATCATACGGGAAAACATGGCATACTTGGAGTTTAGTTATCATACCTTATTACTATATACTTTCTGAAAAGGTTCAATTGTTGTATACTTTCGAGTATGATCGCAAATTACTCTCCTAGCACATATAAATATACTCTTTGCTTTAAACCCTTTGCCGTTGTCCCTCATATTTCCTTGCTCTGTGGCTCTCTCACGATATTGTACATATCCCATCTGTTATTTCCCTCCAATCCTCAGTATTAGACCCAGAGAAAACCCGCCCCTGTTCCCCCTCAGTTCCAATCATTTCCTGCAGTATTATGTCTTCGGCTGAAAATATCAGTTTCTACCCATCTTCAAGTAAGTATAACCTGATTTCACTATATCCGAACCAATGATACATACGCACGGGGAATTATCCCCCCCCCCGCACGCATCCCGAGGTCATTATCGAACCTCATAACCCCGAAGCTAAAAAAGCCAGAAGGGAGAAAAGGAAAAAAAAAGGAAAAAGGACTCAATTCAGCTACAAATAACTAACTAATCAAGTAATAACTTACTTACATTACCCCATTTCTCCTGCCTCCCCCGCATCAATCAACAACCAGCAAGATAACAACAAAGGAGTATATATATATAAAAAAAAGAGGCTTGGTAAGAGAAGGAAAGAATAAAAGAACCCATACACCACCCTTTATCACTCCCTCACAAGAAAGCAGGTACAAATCAATCCCTTGAATGAAAATGAAGAACGGAGAGGAAAAGGGAAAAAACAGAATTCCAGACCCACCGGTTTGCGATGATGATAAGTGTGAGACGTAGACGAAATGAAAGCGAGGAATCATATAAGAGGAAAAGGGGAAGGGAAAGAAAAGCAAGGGGTTTAGTAAGCTGGACTGGACATGGGGTAATAATACATTTCGTCTTCGGGTGGACAAACAAATGGATAAACACAAATAGGTAGAGGAAAGAACTAATAGCTTCTCCTAATCCTCAAGCCAAACTCCTCCTTCGCCGCCATGCGCTTGATCTCCTCAACCTGCAAGTCCTCCTCCGCGAGCGCCGGAGACACGCTCTTCCCGGATCCGCCACTACCACTCCGCCCACCGCTAGTCAATCCGGGAGATATCGATTTCGCGAACTTGGCTGTAGGCGGTGGGGAGATACTGTCTTCGTCTTCCTTCCGCTTGACGGTTTTGGTGGTCTTTGTGTATGTGACTTTTGGCTTTGGGGCGCGGTGGGTTAGGCGGGGGTAGTCTGCTTTTTTGCCGATTGAGGTTATAGAGGAGGTGGTGGTAGTAGTAGTAGTGGTGGCTGCGGTAGTACCGTTGGTGGGTGGAGTAGGATCTGTGGGCGGGGTTAGAGTTTTGGGGACGGCAAGGGAGGGAGAGGCTGCCGTTGATGTAGATATTACAGTGGTGGATGGGGCGGTGGCTGGGATGGTGGTTGGTGGAGGGGAGGGAGAAGAGGGATCGGTAGGCTTTGGGGGTTCTTCTAAGTCGTCTAATGGAGGGGCCATTATTGATGGGTCTTCGGGGGTATGTGACACGCGGGATTTGTAGGATATTGGCTCCTCGAGGATGGAGAGGTCAAGTTCGAAGGAGTCTTTCTCAGCCGGTGGGGTGGTGGCCTTCGTTGGGGTTTTGATAATGCGGACTTCTGGGACAGGGAGACGTGATGGGGGTGGCTTGCTACTAACAACAATGATCTCCTCAAGGACTGGTTCTGCCCCTTCTGCCCCTTCTGCCCCTTCTGCCACTTCTGCCTCGGGAGTTTCCTCATGTGCAACTGTAGGGGTGTTTCCGGCAGATGAATGTCTTCTCTGGGCCGGGGGTTGGCGTGCTCCATCCCAGGAAGATTTGGCTACCTTTCCGAGTGAGAGTCGTCCACCACCTTTCTTATGGCTCTTTGGCTTATCGGCCTTCTGTGCCCTCGTTGTCTGCCGTTCGATTGCCAAGTGCCAAGTGTCATGCGGGCATCTCGCCTATTTTTAGGTTAGAACAAAATCCAGATAGAACGATCATTTCCAACGACATACCTTCAATTCCTTGCACCTGTCGCAGGACGGCTTCCGCCCCTGAAACCCGGGTGGGCGTCCGCCTGCCATGTTTTGAGTGCCAGGATTGAATGATTCCTCTCGTTCCACTTGCACCTCTACCCGCTTTTTCTTTGGCGGAGGCTGTGTGGCCACTTCTGCTTCTTCCATCGACTCGTTTGCATCTTCAGGCAATGCCCGCTTTAGCGCCGGGATGGAGGTTTTTGCCTTAGGTGTGGGGGCCTTTTTCTCCTTTGCCGGCTTTGGTACAACAACCTGTACTTCGGTCATTTCCTTATGGTTAGCGTCCTCTATAGGCGCCGGAGCGAGTACTGGCTCGACCCTTCGGCCCTCCCGCTCGCCCCGGGCAGCCTTTGCTGCTCTATCGCTCGCCTCTAATCTCGCCAATAATTGCGCAATTTCGGACTTGTGTTTGCAACCAGTCTTCTTAAGCCTGCAGTTCTGACATCCAGCCCTCGGGGGTCCCAGATTAGATAGCTTGCGGACGTAAGTGCAGCCATCGGACAATGTAAATGCTTCGCCGTCCTCCCCTTCCACTACGGTCACCTTCCGTTTGCCAACGGGGAGGTGATCGGCATCATCGAAGGTCGGCTGTGGCTGCGGCTTGTTAGGTGGCCGACCTCTCTTCTTTGTGCCTGGCGGTGCCTCGGGGCCATTTGCCTTCTTCTTCGGTCGTGATTTGGGAACCCCGCCTTCTTCCTGGGCTACTTCAGATCCAGAGGAGACCGCGCTTTCGGCACGAATAGCTCGAACTCTGAGGCCTGGACGTCTGGGAGGTTCTGCTTTCCTCGCTTCTTCTTCGCGTGCTCTCTGAGCTCTCCGGAGGGCAGCCTGGCTGGGCCCCTTTTTCGGCCCGTCTTTGGGCCACCAGCTCTCCAAAGCCCATTCTGGAACCCTCTCGCCGTTCGGAACAAGTCTCTGACAGGCACGTTTCCAGACACACCAGCGGCCAAACCTCTTAATCCATTCCACAGGCTCTTGGCTAATTGGTGCAGGAATAGCCTTCTTTACCGCCTCTACCTGCTTCCCAGTCAAATTCGGCCTACGAGGTACCAACGAGGTAGTGATTGTGCCACACGAAACAAGCGCGGTCCTCAAAAGAAAATTGCACAGAGCGGGAAGTCCCTCCAATTCTTGCTGTGTGTATGTCCTAGCGGTCTTGGGGGATCGTTGTCTTGTCCGCTTCAGAACCCTCCCACGCCCAATGGCCTCGTCAACCTCATCAGAAATCGGATCCTTTTTCATGTAGTTATATGCGAGATGCCACATGAGTGTAGTATACTTTGGATACCGCTGGCTCAACTTAGTATCAGTGACAACCTCGATTCGTTGTACCTTCATCTGCATCGCGTAATGGTTTCGCGTGAGGAAATTGCCACCGACAACTAGACTATCTCTGGGGGTGTAGACCGCGTGTATCCAGCCGGACGGTATAAACATGGTATCTCCTTTGTTGAGGGTGACGAGAGTACAAGGATCACTGGTCAGAGTGGGGAAGAAGGTCGTATTCATGTTCGGATCCATCGACCACTTCTCATAAATCTCTAGATTGTGCTCCGTAGGCGGTATCACAAGGAAAACTTTCTCTCCCTCATAGATGTGGTAGAATACCGAGGATCCAGCAAAATCGATGTGGAAATCCGTGAAGGAGTCCGCAACAGACATAAGGACATACTTGCCGACACGGGGCTTCGCTTCAGAGCCCATTGGGGGCGCTGGGTCGGGGCGCCAAACTTTGTCAGCCAAATCCAAATCCCTAGTCACCGGTGTCAGCATACGTTATTCAGAGCCCAAAATTGTTTCACCTACCTCACGACTTGAGGCCTAGAGATCATGGCGCCCAATTCGGAGTTTGAAACCTCACAGCTTATGCAATTATAGATTACATCCCTCACGTCGCTCTCGAAATAATTGACAAGCTGGTCCATTTGCCATTTGTCATCCTTCTCTGTGGCTTGACTAAGAACATTGATCATTTCAACACGAGCCGATTCACCAATTAGCTCGCTAACCCTGCGAACTGTCAAGCCAGGCGGGATAATCATGTCCAGGTTGTCGGCTCCTTGGCGTCGCTGCTTGACATCGTATTCGCCCTCGCGAAGAGTTTGCTTCAAACGGTCAACCTCAGCAGGGTCAAAGTCTCCATTATCCAACGTCATCTCTGGCAACCGGTGTTCTGCTTTGGACGGAGGGCCGGGGGTCGTCGGTCTATCGACCGCACCGCCCTCGCAGGTAGCCAGAGGCGGGGGTGGTGGGGTGGCCATGCGGCTCGGATGCTCCTCAGTTGAGGTTTGCGGTATAGTGGTATCATCCGAGTCCAGGATGGTCGTCTTCGGGTGTGTAACCCATGGTGCAGGGTTCGATTCGGCCGGAACGATGAAAGGCTGATTCCACCCATTGGGCAAGTCCTCAAGGAACTCGACAGTGACCTGTTCAGGGCGCATGCGAGGAAGCTTATCATCGGCAAAAGTGAACGTACGGTTCCGAATAATCTCAACATATGGATGTAGCTTGCCGTCAACAGGATTTTTAATCGGCGCGGAGGATCCATTGTGCAAAGCATTATAATCTATCGCAGTTGTTGCTCGATTGGATTTACGTTTCACTGTGCATATTGTGAGATGACTCTGATTGTTTAGCAGGTTTGGTCGTGTACTTACTGGTGGAAGGCCCGTGTACTTCAGCACATCTTGCGCAGTAAAACTTGTCAATCTTGTTGACCATTTCACTATCAAGATCAACACAGCGAGAGTGGTGCCATGTGCCACAGCCGTCGCAACCTATCCAAGCAATCTGATCGAATCTGAATCCATGCCCATCCTGATACGGCCCTCGACAGGTTTCACACTTTTCGTCACTAGGGTTTTCCGGTTCTCGTGGGGATTCCCCGGTGGGTGACAAAACCCGCAGTCGCTGGTACCCTGCGCCATCCAGTCTATCCTGCTCAGGATTCGAGATAGTTGACTCGGATACTCCTACACTCACCCCAGCAGCTGGCCCTTCGGGACTGACCACTTCTAGAGGAATCCCGACCTCTACGGCGCCACCGGCGCCAAACACGGGCTCATCGCCAGCCTGATACTAGGGATTAGTAAACTTCTTGTTAGGATACACAAGCAGTCAAAAATTAAAATGAAAAAAAAAACTAACCGCATTATCAACCTCGTAGTCTACGCTTCCCTCTCGAATGGTCCTCGGCTCTTCAAGAGTTTCTGGGACAACAAGCGTCAAATCATGTCCGTCCGATCCCATTAGCTGATCTTCCTCTGCGATACCGGTTTCTAGGCTCTGGGTCCCAGCATCACCACAAGCAATTGCTGGTGGGATTAAGTCACCTTTATCTCGAGCAACGGAAGGCGAAGCGGCTGGACCCGTGTCAATCACCACTTCGTCCGACTCTATAACCCAAATGTCAGTAAAGAGTCGAGCATAGACAGCCGAGCACAACAAACCTCCAACGTCTTCTGTGATGTCCATTTCATCTGGTTCGCCTCCTTTTGGGATATCAATCTCGCGCTCAGTTGGTACCAGAGCCACACCGTCCATATCTTTCATATGTACCCCTGAGTACCAAAGAACGTCAGCACGTAAACACATTGTGAGGTGCAAAAACCAAGAGGTCTAAGGGGAATGGCCCCATTTTGACACCACTCTAGCACGCACTCACCCATAAGACTATCCTCAAATGACTGCTCTCTCTTACCAAAAATGGTACTGTTATCCTGTGGGGCCTCTGGTGCTGATACACAGAACCTTATATTAACATCGTATACCCGAGCTAGAAGTAGAGCACTAAGGTAAACATACCCGGGAGAGAGATTGAATTAACGTTGCTAGCTGCGAGAGCTTCCAGAGCAGTAGGTGCGTGTTGGGCATCCAGCTCCTTTGCCGCTGTCATCCCCATCGTAGGCTCCATAGATTCACCGAGCAACTGCTGTGAGACAACAGGACAATTCACCTCCATAGAAGCTTCGACCAGGCGGGCAGAGTATGGAATCATATCGAAGGAAATTTCAGAAGATACACTATCAATTTTCCTTGGAGACTGGTGCTCGTTCAACTCTTCAGCTAGAAGTCCTGACTCGACCTTCGATTCAGGAGTCTGTCTGCAAGTGTCTTGCCCAAGGGCAGCTTGACATTCAATGCTCCGCTTAGTAGACTCATCTACGCGTCTAGTTCCTATCTTACTCCCAGAGTGCAGTTCTGGGTAAACTCCAAAGCCACCATTATCCTTGGAAACTGTAGATCCGGTAAATATAGTTGTATCTTGAGGAGCCATCACTGGTGTCGCAGGGCGAGACGGATAAGGTGAATAAGCTGGTGATGGACTTGGTGGTTCGGCCTCTGGTGGGGGGAAATACTGAGCTACGGGGGAGCTCTGAAGAGATGTCGAACGATATTCCGAGGCGGGGCTCGAATTGATCCATCTAATATTACTAGAGGGCCGACCGCGTCCACGCCCTCGATCACTGCGCGTAGACCTAAGGGCTCCCTTCACGGCAACTTCGTCGCGTGTCGAGTGGTCCCCCGCTTTCTTCCTCCTCGTCCGTTTGGAGGACCGTTTGGGGCTCCGATCCACCGAAACAGTAGGGTAAGCGAATGGCGGTATAGGCCCGGGCTCGCAGGATGTGGGCGGAGCTTCGGAGAGCTGGTGGGAGGGCTCGCCGTTCGGTGCGCCATTAGGGAGATTTACTGCGGACGAAATAGGCATCAGACTCGAAGTGGGAGGCGAGTAGGGTGTAGAGGTTGATGCGATTGGGGCAGTAGTGAAAGTAGACGTGCGTAGGGTTGAGAAGATGGTGGGAGTATAGGCAAGCGCGATATCTGCAAAAGCCAGCATAGGATTCGAACTCGCCTCGGCCGAGTACAAGGGAGGAGATGGAAAGGTATGCGCAGGTGAAGACATATTCGCAGGATGGTTGTACAGTGCTCTAGAGTTGGAGGTGGGGGCACCGTTAAATGAGGAAGATTGGAATAGTGGGAGCGGGGCGTAAGGCGCGTCTTTTGGGGCCGTAGGACCTGCTATGGGTGAGAGGGGTTCAACAGCGTTCTGCGCAAACTCCGGCGGAGGGGTACGAAATCCAAAGCGCGAGCCGTAAGGTAATTTAACGGAATAGTTTTCCATCGCTGGTGCCCCGGTCATCCGATAGGGGGGCGCAGTTGTGTGAATTGACGGTCAACCACGACCTCCGCTGGTGAGCCGAACAAGCGACAAAGCGGAGCGGGACGAGAGTGACCAAGTTGGAAGCGCGAAGTATCTTTTCCACGGCGATGTAATTAACGAAGGAATTATACGAGAGAGAGGGTTAAAGGAAAGCAGAAACGAATGTGAATCTCAAGAAAGGGAGGCGCTACGTTAGGAGGAGGTGCGGTGGGTTGGTGAGATTAGTGGCGGGGGGACGGATGATGGATGGGGGTGGGTGTTGGTATGGTGTGGTGGTGGTTGTAGCAGGTGTTTATGTTTGCAGGGAGGTTGAGCTAGATTGAGAGTTTAGACTGGGGGGAAGTGACGGACTGTATGAGCAGGATATAAGAGAGGGAGGGTGAGTTTACGTCGGTCGGGGTATAATAGATATAATAGTGGGAGGGAGGAAGAGTTCGACTCTGTGTATGGTCACATACAGCGAGGCGTGCTGCTTCCTGTATGTCTGGCGGGCGGAAGTGGATGGGTAGGAAGGCCAGCAGCGAAGGCAGTGGACTTCAATGTCACAGCAATACCGGCAGACCAAGCACAGCTCAACACAGAAAATGGCTACACAATTATCGAGAATTAAGGATCTAAATGCACGATACGAAAAAACAGCAGGACACGAAACCGCTCCCCTCTATACACATATATCATATATCCATATATCCTTAACTTAGAGGGCTTTTTATCGCTACTGCTATCCCCAGAGCACCAAGCCGTGCCTTGCCAGAGGCCCTCGATCCCGAGTTCTTCTCTCGGTGATCAAGAGACAGGGAAAGGGAAAGCAGGTGCAGCTCCCGCTTATTCTAGTCTTCCCCTTATGGACTAGAAAGATATTCTCAACGGATGACTAAGATGAGGCTCTTCATGGAACTCACCTGTGCACCTCTAAAATTTCCAATCAGATGCAGAAGGAAATGAGAAATTATCGGGTCTGGTCGTCATATCTCTCTACGAGTATCCTGAACCTGATCACCTAGAATGACAGACAATTGGGCAGCGACCAATACTTGAGTATATGCTGGTGTACTAGTATAATACAGATGCCGTACTTCCCCCTCCTTCCCCCCTTTCCTCCTTCCATCCTTCTTCCCCCCTTTCCTCCTTCCATCCTTCTTCCCCAATATCGACCCCCTTCTCCTTCTTCCTTCACATCACCACTTTCTTTCACAATTACTGTATTTCTTCACAACTCATCCAATCCCCTCGTGTCTCCGAGCCCGTATCCTCCGTTTTCTCTCTATTTTAGACTTGTGAATTTCATTCTCGTTCTCGCATATCCGAAAAAAGCACGTTTGAATACAAATACGTATGTAGCCGCTACCATCATTGCTATAGCTGTGACATTTGCTACCGCGGATTGTTCCTCTTTTTCCGCTACCCCCCCCCCTCTTATTTTGTTCACCTTTTTTCATCCATTCCTTACCCCATATCCAGAGAAACGACTCATGCCAAAAATTGAGGTTTGGCATTTCCCTGTTTAGGCTATCACATCCACCATCGATAGAACCCAAACTTGCAATTATGCAGGACAATTCTGTGGCTTCGTTCGAGTGCTAAATACTCTACGATGCCAGAAAACTCACAAACTATCTCCCGTAGCTTCACCCCACGCCCGCCTGTCTTCGCTTATCTCAAGATCTCGTCTCCGTGAGTCCGGATCTGCCCCTCCACTAAGATTGCTCAAACTAAGTGCAATACCTTAGGCAACAACCAGTCACGATACAGTCCTGGGGACTCGACACCCCTTCCCAACTCGAAACACAGCTCCCGATCTTGTAACAAAGGAATTTTTCAAAATTCAGACTCTACCTTTCTCACGTCTGCTTTCTCCCCCCATCCCCGCCCTCGTTCTATTCCACCATCAAAACCCTCTGTTTCCTACCAAGCATGCTTGGTTGTGTTTCGAACGAAACTTTCCCCATGTTTTTCTCAATCTCTCTTCCATTTTCATTGATATCCCTCTTCTTGCCGTAATTTACTCTCGTTTACCCAGCTGACATTTACCCGCAGCTGTTGGAGGAGAAGGTTGAGCCTTCTCTGTCCTCTCGCTTCATTTATATACTATCTTCATTTCCCCCCCTTTCTTCTCTTTCTGTTTGCATTCTATCCACCCGGGAAAGCTATCTAAGGATTGCAGGCGCCAAAACAATTTAACCCTTTTGACCAAGCTATCCCTTTTGGCACCCAGAAAGCCCCTATCCCAAAACCATGCAAGCTGCCCACTGCGACCCACCAGAATTCTCCTCTCCCTCTCCCCCCTCCTCAGCACCAACCCCCCCAAGCTCTCCGCTCCCGTCGCCGCCTCTATCTCCTGCCCTGCGACAGACACACCCCCTCTCAACACCTCTTCCCCCACCTGCCCCGAGCCATTCCGTTTGGCAATGCTGCTCGTGCAAACAGGTGTACCGTTTCTCCGCGGTCCGAAATCGTTGTCTACTCTGCTCACACAGATTTTGCAAGCAGTGTCCAGATGAGCATGACCGTGATGGTTGGAACCTTTATATAAAATTCTGGACCTCGATCACCCCTTCACTAGGGAAGCCCCCGGGGTTTTCCGAGGAAGATGAGTGGGGAAGCGAAGCTGTGTTCTGGGACCCCCTTCAGGACACAGTCGCCAGTGGGGATATTGACGAAGAAGCGAGTTCTACTTCTTCTGAGACTCCTGAATCCCCTACCGAGGAAAGGGGGGAGAGTGGTTGGACTTCCGATTGGCTTTTTGAAAGGGATGATGCGGCAGATATTGGGATGCAGGTTAAATTGGCCCCGATGGCCCCGTATACACTTCAGCGCCGATACTCACATCCTTATACGGAACAGTACCCACGCCCCGCCACCCCATTACAGGTACTAATGGAAAAGGAAAACAGATCACCCTCCTTAAGCACCGACATTCTTGGTGTGGATGAGGGTGTCCGGGGTGATGTGGCTAGCGGGGCAATCATCGCCGCATTTGAAGATCTTTCTTGAGGGCTTCCGTCGGGGTCCTAGTGATATGGGCTCCGCACCCACCGAATCAGGACAAGGCCAGGGTGGAAATTTTTGTCCTTAGCATTGCACGAATTTAGTTTACTGTTTTACTTCGCACAGGTTAATCCTTCTCAACTTATTATCTTGTAACGACCACCGGATGGCGGTGATGTGCAGATGGCCCCAGCTACCGTATATGGAACTAGGTCGGAGGATCATCACACGGTAGCTTGGCGCTTGTGGCTTCCATTTGGAATTCTTGCGATTGGTTAGTTCTGTGGCTTTAGCTTATAATACGTTTGGGATCGCATAATGATACATATCAGGAGTTTTTGGGCTACCGGTATGTTGTTAAAGCCTCAGCTTTCTCTTCTATCACATCCTAATGAACCGTACTCAATTCCTTTGCCGTGAACTCCATGAAGAATGCTCCAGTCATCACTCATTGATTCTCACTCGGTGTATGTACTGTACAATACTCCAGACACTCCATCATTCATATCGGGGTCATCTTACCCGCTCTGTTATCGGAATCTAGTACAGACAATCATTTCCCCTTTCTTTTTTTCTTTTTTTCCCGATTACTCATGAATACTTAACACCTAATATTATCGAAAGACATTTGCTGGTACGCTAGAGACACTGCTCGAACATCCTTATGAGATGGAGCTACATCCCTGTAATACTATGATAAAAACAAATCAAAAATGCATCACAAAACCTTCCAGCGCCAACGCCAAGCCGGTTGCGGCTCAAAATTATCCCCCCACCTAGCGCCCTAGCGCACCGTCCCATCTGTCATTCCTTCAACCAATCGGTCCACAGGGAAAAAATGTTAGAACTCCACATCTGGGGTCCCTCCTTCACCCTGCCCTCAATTTCCCCTCAATCGCTCTCCACAATAGCCTATCTAAACCTAACCCAACCGTCCACCTCCTGGACCCTGATCCCCAGCAGCAATCCCCTTCTCTCCCCGAGCCGCGAGCTCCCGGCGCTGCGTGACGGCGCAACCTGGGCTTCCGGCTTCCGTGGGGTAGTAGAGCACCTTCGTCGCAAAAACGGCTCGAGCTTAGACGATAAACTAGCCGGGGCGAAGAGAGCAGAGGCGCTTGCGTTCGGAACGTACATTGAGAGCGAAGGTGGGAAGCTACTGGACTTGTCAATGTATCTGACGGACGAGAACTTTGATGTTCTGAGAGGAGTGCTTGCTAAACTATTACCCGTGCCCGCGAGGTATTACTTTCCTGGAGTTTTACGGCGGGAGGCGAGGAGGAGATGCGATGGGTTGATTTCTGCCTCTTCCTCTGCAAGTGCCGTAGATGCTGCCACGCCGCTTCCTCAAGCTTCGGCAATGACGGCTATGGCCTTGCCTGCGGCTAAGGAGAAGATCTCAGCGAAGGCCGTGGCAGAGAAGATCAAACAGGTGGCGATCGCAGCGAACTTCCTCCGGACAATGCAGTCCCTCCTGGGCGGGCGGACGTATTTTTTTGGCGACAAACCGAGTTCACTGGATTGCCTGGCTGCCGGATACTTATCGCTGGCGCTATACGCGGAATTGCCGAACGGGTGGTTGAGAGAGGAGATGCTTGCCCGACATCACGGATTATGCAAGTATGTCGATGGGGTTCGGGGGCAGATGCTCGGCGATGGTGTTGACGTCGCAGCTGTGATATCCGGGCAGGCGGCGATGGCAACGCCATCTGGGAAAATTGCGGGTGGGGGATTACCGTGGGGAGTCGTTGAGCGCCAGGACGTACCCTGGGTTGCGGGTTTTTTTCTCAATAGGGCAATGGAAATCGTTGGGATTACGCCTACGGAAAGATATGGAGGTGGGGAGAACGAGGAGGAACGAACGGAGGAGAAGGAGGGGCGCAGGAAGGGAACAAAGAGCCTACAGAGATGGGCGACTGCAAAGAACGTGGCTGTGATAGCCGGGTGTATTAGTACACTTATCGGGTATTGCGTGTGGAGCGGGTTGATTACGATGGAGTTTAGTGGGAGGGCGAAAGATGGGGCCGTTGGAGGTGTGGGTGGGAATGAGGGCGAGGACAATGATGATGACGGGAAAGATGCTGAAAACGAGATGGAGTTGTTGGAGGGGTTTGGATCCGCCGAGGCTATTCTGGGCCTTGGTGGGAGGGGAACATTCAGCCCGAAAGAAGAGGATGAGATAGATGAGGTTATTGATGCGGAGTTTTGTCGCGGTGTGAACGAGGAGGAGGGGAGAGGGGGGATTCGGCCAGAGAAGTAGTGGATCACTGGCGTAATTGCGGGAAACTTGTACTCGTAAACTTCTGTAACGAAATATCGTATCTCTACCGCGATATCACCCTTGGCATCCTATCATACAGGTGTGATATCATACTGTATGATATTAGACAAGGTTTCATTCTCCAAGGGCATCACGGAAATTCACTCGGAGTTGGGGGATTGAGGTTACACTACGATAGCATCCCGGGAAACATTAGGTGGTGGGGGTGTACGAGTACGAGTACGAGTACGGTAGTCGGGATACTATACCTAATCCGGAACCTTCTATCGAGCCGCATGAGGCACAAGCGACCAACCCAAATCGCTGCGTGGAACGGATTCGGATTGATTCCCTGGACAGGAATCTTGAAGAGGGAGAGTGTGCATTTCATCAACCAGCTCATCAAGCAAATAAACTAGTGGAGAGCAAGTTAACTTTTCAAGCGCAGCGCGCACCGTTCGATTCTTTTACACCGCCCCCTCCTTTCTCCCCAACTTTCCCCCTCTTTCACACACTCTCACGCCCCATCCGTCAAGAATGCTAACCTGGTATCGCACCGCCCTGACCAAACGCCCCGTCCTAACCCAGTGCCTCTCAACCTCCTTCCTCTTCGCCGCCGGTGACGTAATCGCCCAACAAGCTATCGAGCAGCGGCGCAGCGATGGCTTGCGAACGCACAACCCGTACCGCACCCTACGCATGGCCATCTACGGCGGCAGTATATTCGGCCCCCTCGTGGTGAACTGGTACAAATTCCTGCAGACGGCAGTCCGCATTCCCGCCTCGCCGAGCCTGGAAATCGTGTCGCGCGTGGCGCTAGATCAGACCCTGTTCACGCCTGTCCATCTCACGCTGTTCTTCTCCAGCATGGCTACCATGGAGGGGATCATGGGCGATGATGGGAGGGAGCTGGGGACGGAGGAGAGGGTCAGGGGGAAGTTGCGGGATAATTGGCTGCAAGGGTTGAGGGCGAACTGGACGGTTTGGCCGGGGGTCCAGTTGGTGAATTTTAGGTTCGTGCCGTTGGAGCATAGGGTTTTGGTGGTTAACCTTGTTAGTCTTGGTGAGTGCTTGAATATGTGTGGGGGGGATGGAATGAGGGCTAATTATTGGCGGGGCAGGATGGAATTCGTACCTGAGTTACTTGAATCAGCAAGGGAAGGGCAGGGAGGGGGAGACAGGGAAGGAAGTGTTGTGATATTTGCGAGGGCTCGCACACCGACATGGCATGATAGGGCAGACGCAATGGACTACGGAGGGGGGGAAATGGGGTATCCTAGAGCATAGATTCACTTCCCGCAGGACTGGGGTGATAGAATAAAAAACACTATGATATCATATACTATCCGCTTAACAAACCCCCTACCGCCTCGCTCCTCCTGTGTATGACGATGCTCAAAATCCCAAACACAGCATAACAATTCACCGTACCCAACGTGCAGAAGAAAAGAGGAGGGGGCACAAAAGAGCCATGCGAATATCTCCTCCGGAGCCTTTCCATTTCCGGTTAGGATGCCCCTAAAGTGGCTTACCGCTTCTATCATATCTACTCCAGCCACAGACCTGGAGTGCCGTGCAGCACTGTAATGTATGCCAGTATTGGGCTTGGAAAATCCGGATTATGCTGTAAGCCCGTATATACCTGAGGTTCCTGGCGCGTTTGGTATAATAGGTAAATTAGGTCAGGAGACTCGAATCTGGATTTTGTCCAAGTCTGGAAAAACTACGTCGTGGAAAATCCAATCCTGAGGAGCAATAGCACTATTTTGTTTACCGGCTGGACAAACCCATTGCTCTTTCTTACCTGCCAGTTGATGATGGAAGTCTGAACCCGAATCTATCATACTTGCGCTCGGTATTAACTTATACCATATCGGAAGCCAAAGTCTGAACTTTTCGGGTCTTTGGACTTGGGAGTCGCCGTATTATACTGTACTAGACGACCCCTAAGGTTAGGATATCGTATCACTAAGCATCCGTGACATGCTTTTGATATTAAATTAAGGATTGGTCGGTCGGTTAATAGACGCAAGCTTGAATGAGTAATCACAGAATCTCACCCGGAAGTGTAAGACACGGCATGGTATCATAGAGAATTGTTCAGCCCTATAGCAGTACCATACCTGCGCGTTTTCGGGTGGGATTGGGTGTGTGTATGGGTTTTATTGCCGTGGTATGGTATGACACGATATATAGCAGCAAGTATGATAATCGCCAATCGCCCCAGGCCCACAAGTGCCGGGAATACCACGTTAATGGCAGTTACTGCACTTGTATGATACTTCTAATCTCTCACGGAATGGCTAAGGTGAGTTCTGACGGTCCGGGATATCGAGAGTGATTGTTTTGGCGGTGGGAGTTTTTTTTTCCCCCGCGGCCTGCTTGGTTCGGTGTGTGTGTTGTCCTTGTGTTGTATTGAGTGATCATACTCGTGCATGGTACGTAGGTAATATATGGACCTACGGGCTCAGAGGGGGGAGGGGGGGAGGGAGGAAATTACCCCCTCCCTTCTTTTTGTGGGACATCGTGGTGCGGATTGGATCTTGGGTTTTGGGATGAGAGACTTGGGATTATGGACCTGTGCAATATGTGACCGATTCAGCCACATCTTCCGTTCTTTGGACACCGTGGGAGAGGGAAGTGGTACTGAAGGTGGGAGTTAATAGTTTTGTATGGGGGTTTTCTCAAGATCCTATCTGCAGAATACTCTCTCTCTCTCTCTTTTTTTTATTTGGCAAAGTCGAACTTGCAGCATCATGTTATGCCGCAGGGATTCCTGGGGAGTTTTCCTCATGTGCTCTTTGCATAGTACCATACTCGGATGCGTTTTAAGTATCATATGATACTGGAAATGTACAGTGCTCGCAGATTGCATGTTAATGGCGACCAGCTATCAATCCCACATTACCTCGTATTACACTAGTAACTTTATCAGAACAATATCTGCTCCATACTTTAGGACCTCAAGTAGATAAATAGAGTGTCTTTAAGTACCATTCCTGCAAGGGGCTGTATAACCTGTTCATGTGCAAGGAAACTCAAAAGGCGCATGAGATGAAGCTGCAATCTCACATCATAAAACTAGGGGAAGCTCAGAGCTTGACTGCACATCCCATATCCACTTCTTCTGCTCTCCGTAAGGGTATAGTTACTATCCCCGGAAAGGGGAATCGAGCTCGATTTCACTTTTAAACGTGATTTCAAACTTATAACTTTAACTATTTCTACGAATTTTGGTCAAGCTTGTATTAACAAATTATCGGTAAGCTCACATTAGCGGAAGATAGTGTAGTACCTCATACTGGCAGGCCACTTACTCACTGAATATGAATTCTTGTTACCATGAGAAGAATATCAACAAAATTGATTCCTCTCCTTTCTTCCAGATTGTAATGCTATTGAGAAGGCATGGGGGCTTGATTAGAGAAAGGGTTGCAGAGTGCAGACCATTTCCTTCTGACTGAGGAATAAGCTAGGAAGGATAGGATCGGGCAGTGAGAGGAGATTTTTTTTGGAGTTTATAAATTCTTACCATATTGGTGGGTTGACCAAATGCTTCGATCAAATATTAACCTGGTGTCGCCGAACCCGCATACAACTTAAACCATTCTAGCTCAATGGTGGAAACATGTCCAGTGGCAACTAGTAATTTTTTTTAAAATTATCTGTACAAGTAGTGTATTGAGCTTAATGACGATCTTATTAAATAAATAATAATAATAATATTATATTATTTTTTCCACAAGGAGCGTGCAATATCTATTATTCACTTGTTACTTGTTACTTGTATTGATAGTGGGATAGTTGACAAGGGGGTGCGGTTGAACAACTGTTGTACTGTACTGTACTAGGGGGTTGACAAAAGTCGGGTCCACTTCCAAAAAAGGTTGCGGCATTTATATGTAGTCTAAACCAGGTTAGGAAATATGAGTGATATCTGGTGAGAGCTTTCTGGTGTCGGCAAAAAGTCGGGTCCAGTGTGAAAGTCGGGAGTTCTATGAGTGATATCTGATGAGTATGAATTTTAAAGAAAAAAGGAAGCCTATATACAGAAATCAATATGGAGTTGCCCCCCCCCCCATTGGCATCAATGACAGCTTGTAAACGGTCTGGCATGGTTCTGATAAGGTTTTCTAACCGCTCAGTAGAAATTCTATTCCAAACCGTGTTTAGAGCACATTCCAAAGTTGCCATATCACCAATTCTACCCCATGTCGCGCCCAGCTCATTCTCCATATCTAGCCATAGTGCCTCAATCAAGTTCAAATCCGGAGATTGGGCTGGCCAATGGGTAGTTTCAACTTGGTTAAGATTCCAGTACTAAATGACATATTTCTTGTGACCAGGCACGCCATCCTCAACCACTGTCACCTACCCATATTCTTCACAACAACGATACCAGAAGGGAACAAGGTGAGGATACATGATATTCCTCACATATAATGCAGAATCAACCTTAGCCTTACTTGGTATAAGAGCTAACTTAGACCACATTGTCCCACAAAAACCACCCCAAACCATCTTGCTCTCATGCCCAGATTCAAAAGTTTCATTAATGCAGTTAGCATGAAACTCCTCACATGCTTTGCGTGTAACCCAAGAACGGTTCCCGAAGACGGCAGTCGAAAAGGTCAATTGGTCTGTCTACAGCACACGGAGCCAATCCTCGTAGCTCCAATTCAATCGTTCACGACACCACGCAACATGGAGAGGACGGTTTGCTGGTCGAATGGCAAATTTCCTGCATGCAACGTGTCGATGGTAGCCCATCGACTCCATCACACCTTTTACTGTGCGTGGACTACAGGCATAGCCCATCTTGAGACATCTCATCCCAGCTAAGGTGCCGGGTTCTGGTGTCGCATGTCACGAAGGCCTCCAACCAATGCTTTTCGACCTCGTCAAAGATTGGTGGATGGCTGGAACGGTAGGAATTCGAAGGTGTGCTATTTTCTTTGGCCCGCTTATAAATCTATAGGTTTGTTAAATATATTTCACTATGGTAAGATTGGTATATACTGACCCGCTGGCATGTCCGATGATGAATACTCAGGTGCTGACCAATTTGACTCCAATCCCATCCTGCAGTATCACGGAGCGTAATAACTTGGATACGCTCATTACGTGTAGTTTCGCGGTGCTGTACATCTGCTGGGTTCTGCTCGCGAGTTTCCTTTTATTTCATACGTTTTTTTATATACTGTCCTGTATGGGTTGGGGAGTGGTGAAGGATGAATGTGACCTGCTATGTGGTCTTCGTGCTGTGGTGATAAAAGGGGGAGTGCTATCCCGAAAGAGAAGACTTGTGTAACCGGATGCCAAATACCCTTACACCCGAGTACTCGTACGGTTGGGTGTTTTTTTTTTGTGTGTGACTGGGGGGTTAGCAAAAAAGTATGATAAGCCCGGCAGTGAAGCAAGTTTCCATTCAACCTTTTCAGGGATTAAAAGGAAACAAAAAATGCTGAACCATGGTACGAGTGTTACCAAAGAATGAACAAAAATGTAGGGACATGGTGGGGGAATTCTTCGACCGGAGCACTTCAGTCCGAGAAATTCCCCCCACTTTAAACTGCTAAGGCTCCACAACGACGACTTTATTTCTCTCTCTATTAGAGAAGTAGGAGATTCAGCTAATAGAGAATTATTCCAAAATTATTAATTCCCAGGTTAGGTTATATCATGCTCCCCAGAGGAATGTTGCATTTGGTTATTGGCTGTTAAAATTGCTAAGATGCAAGCGAGTATTGTCGGAAACACAAATTAACTGATATTTAACCTAAATTGAATGCCAATTAACCTATATTACTAACTAAGCAAGCGGGTGTCGCATTTACTCCAGTTTAAGAATTCTTCCACCCCGGTACTACCGTACTTGAAGTATGTTACCCAATCTTTTCGGAGCTCGGTCGAAAATTGCTATCTGCAGGTTTCCTGGTTTGGTTTTGCTCGCTACTGGCGCTGGAGGTGGAACACTAGATTTTCGTTGGGGGCGGAGGGAGGGAGGGGGTAACATTGTTTAACTTGGTGTGAAAATGGGCATCGGCTCGAGAATTTTTTCCTTTGTCCGAATACCTTTTGTCATGGACGGGTTAGTGGATTGGTGCTGTACGAGTACTGTACTTAGGGTGTAAGCATAAGTCTGTCGAACTTTCTCCTATAGGCTCGATTTTATATGGATATGCGGACTATCTGCACATATAATTGGTTGTAGCTTGCTAATCTGGACAAAAATTGGTGAAGAAAAAAAGTCTGTCGAACTCTCAACATTTATATAGAACAAAAAATAAAAACAACAAAACTTAATATTTTGTAGCATTTCCTTCAGCTGCGATTACCACTTCTAGTCTACTAGGCATACTAGCAATCAATTTTGATAGTCTTGCTGGTGTGATACTCTCCCATGCAGCGCGAAGCATAAGAATTAACATATCAGTATCCTTGGCCTTTTCATATATCTGGCCAAGTTCCATTTCCATATCAGCCCAAAGGGCCTCAATGAGGTTTAGATTGGGTGATTGGGGAGGCCATTCAATACTATCAACTCCATGCCATTGCCAGGACTGAACAGCAAATTTCTTATGCCCAGGAGCATTGTCCTCAACTACTCTTACCCATCCGTATTCCTCACAAGCCTCATACCAGAATGGGATTAATAGAGGTTCCAGGACATTGGTAGTATATCTAATAGTATTAGTTTAATTAGGATTCAAAAATAATATAGATTCTAAAATAGAAGTAGCTTACCTAGCGGAATTTATAGTAGTTCTAGGCGGTACTACATAGAGTGGAGACTTCATTGTTCTACAGAAAGCTCCCCATACCATAATACTCTTACAGCCAGACTCCCATACCTGATCTACACAATCCTCATGGAATTCCTCCTCTGGCCGCTGTATAACCCAAGGTCTATTGTAAAAACTAGCAGTACTAAAGCTGGATTCATCCGTTCAAACTACTCTTTTCCACTCCTCAGTCCAATTCAACCGTTCCTGGCACCAAGCGACCCTTTTTAGTTTATTATATCTTCTGATACCCTATCTAATAGTTTATATTACTTGTATTAGTCTAAATATACGTGAAATTAATAGGTATAATACTAACTTTTTCCGAGGTAACCTTTTATGATACCCCATAGATGTCATCACAGCTCTTATAGTAGGTACAGAGTAATTGTAACCTAGCTCCTGGATAACCTCTTCCCACTGAAGGTGCTGAGTTCATTTATCTAGGGTTATAAAAGCCCGCAAGCACTCCTTTTCCTCTGCGTTAAAGATAACTGGCCGCCTAGACCGCTAGCAATTAGATGGCGAGCCATGATCCTTTGCCCGCTTATATATTTTTTGACAGGTATTGAAGTCTAAACCTAGCCTTTCACCAATCTCCTATTCTCGTTAACTTCTTTACTCTTAATTCATTAGGGTGGGTCCTCACTTTCCAAGTCATCTCAGCTTTCTCTCGTAGTGCTAGGATCTGTAAGCGTTCATCACGAGTCGTTTCACAATTCCTCGTACTTTCTCCAGCCCGTATATAGTCAACTCGGCGTCCCTTGTTCTTCATTTTTCCCACTGATCTTGTATATTGGTATTCGTCACACTAACCATCATGATAATTATCTTAGTCTACAGCAGAAACTATCTATTCTGATTATATAATGGTTGACAGGTGGCAGTTGCTTGTTTGCTGTTGGCTGAAACACTCCTAACCAATCGTTATGGGTTCGACAGACTTACCCTTGATACCCGGTACTGTACGGGTACTTGTAGTAGTACCGGTAGTACTATTGCACCAGCTGCTGGCACTCGTATGTACTGTGCCCGTGGGCCAGGGTGTCGCAGGGTGCGGTGCGGTACTGTACTGTACTCGAGTGCTGGTTGGATGAGGAAGTGCTCATTTATGCCTTTGGGATATGTACTCGATTGACCATGCTTGGTCTGCTCGAGCACTCGCGGCGAGGTTCAGAAAGTCGATTGGTTTGTGGGAAGCTTTACTTTTATTCCTGGTTCGTGCAGCGTCGCCCGCTATAAGCTTCCTAGCCCCCCACTCTCCACACTGCGCCACATACCATCACATTGACCATCGTGATGAGAGTCCACAATCTTATCATATAATAGTAATATCACATCATATTATCATAGTCTAGATCACACTGGTAAAACGCCTCAAGCCCTCACCCATTAGCGTTAAGAATTTTCTCTCTCGTTGCCATCTGGCCGTTTGTGCTGCGGGGATCTTGAGTGTTATTGTGGGTTAGGTAAGGTTAGGCTGTTTTCGCGTTATCCTCCTCCCGCCATCTACTTTTGTCCCAACTTTTGTTGCTGCTGCTTTTCCTCCTTTTCTTTCCTCCTCCTTTCTCCCCACCCCTTTTCAAGTTACCGGACACTTGTACCAATCTCCTCGACCCACGCTTTGGATAGGGGAATTGATTGTTTGGGGCTAAGGGTCATCGCTTTTGTTCTTATATATTTTCTCTTATCCGTGAGCTTTTCTTCGCCCGGGTTCTCTCCCACTTCAATTGGGGTCGGAATCGAGGAAAAGGGCTGTTGGTCAGCTCGTGGGTTTTTTTTACATTATGAAGTATGTGCTTTTGTTTTTTTCGGCACTCGCTCTATTTTACCCCCCTCCGCTTTGTACGGGTGCTATAACTCAATTTTCGTCTGGTTAGGTTCGGTCAACAGCTTCGGACGTCCCTGATCAAAGGTTTGTCTTGTTCCCCGAGAAGATGCTCTTCCCTCCTCTACGATTGTTCATACCTCTTCTTCTGTAGATTACTACTACTACTACATTTCCTACGATGACTTGAAATCCGAGCTCAAGTCCCGCCTCTACCCGCCGGGCACCAACCCCGCCGTCTCCTCGCCAAGGAAGTGGACGGAAGATGACGAGAAGGCCTTTGTGGAGGTCCTGGAGACAGAACTGGACAAGGTCTTCACCTTCCAAAAGGTCAAGTCCGGGGAGATCGTTCGAAGGATTAAGGTTTCCGAGAAGGAGGTCGAGGACGTCGTCAAGCAGCTGGACTCGCGACCCCCCGCGCGCAGGGAGAATCAGGCCGTAGCGGGCGTTGGCGAGGGGAGGGCAGGGGAGGCTCCGACCGGTCCGACTGAGGAGGACTTTGAGATGCTCGAGGAGGACCTGAGCGATATCATCGCCGATGTTCACGACTTGGCCAAGTTCACGCAATTGAATTATACGGGGTTTCAGAAGATTATCAAGAAGCATGATGTGAGAATTTTTTTCATCTCTTTTTTTGCCTTTTCTCTTCCTATTTTTCGGGACGAAACTCCCTAATGAGGTTAATATTAGAAACAAACTGGGTGGCCACTTAGGCCGATTTTCTCGGCAAGACTCAATGCAAAGCCGTTCTTTAAGGACAACTACGACGCTTTTATCGTTAAGCTTTCAAAGTTGTACGATCTGGTGAGGACGAGGGGGAACCCGACTCAGGGTGATAGTAGCGCCGGAGGCTCTCAACAGAACTTTATTAGACAGACAACAAAGTACTGGGTTCACCCGGATAATATCACGGAGCTGAAATTGATCATTCTAAAGGTATGACGTGGAAGTGAATGGGCCCATTTACCCGGATAGTGCTGATTGCGTCTGATAGCATCTGCCGGTGCTCGTGTTCAACCCGAATAAGGAGTTTGAAAAACAGGATTCCGCAATCTCCTCGATCTACTACGATAACCGGGATTTCGAACTCTACCTCGGCCGTCTACGCAAGGATGAGGGTGCAGAGGCAGTTCGTCTTCGGTGGTACGGTGGGATGGACGTTTCGACCATTTTTGTGGAGCGCAAGACCCATCGTGAGGATTGGACTGGGGAGAAGAGTGTCAAAGCGCGCTTTGCGCTGAAGGAAAAGAATGTCAATGCGTTCCTCAAGGGCGAGTATACCGTTGGCCAGGCCTTTGAGAAGATGCGGAAGGAAGGGAAGAAGAGCGTCAAGGAGATTGAAGCCTTGGAAGCTTTGGCGAGGGAAGTGCAGTACACAACCATCACCAAGGAATTGACGCCCGCTGTGAGGTCGTTTTACAACCGTACTGCCTTCCAGTTACCAGGCGATGCCCGAGTGCGTATCTCGCTTGATACCGAGCTGTCCTTGATTCGTGAGGATAATTGGGATGGGACAAAGCGCTCTGGGGATAATTGGAGGCGAATGGATATTGGGATTGATTGGCCATTCAATCAGCTTCCTGCTAAAGATATTGAACGTTTCCCATACGCCATTCTGGAGGTCAAGCTGCAGACCCAAGCTGGTCAGGAACCTCCAGAGTGGGTTCGAGAACTCACCTCCTCTCATCTTGTCGAGGCGGTCCCCAAATTCTCCAAGTTCATTCACGGGACGGCAACCCTGTTCCCTGACAAGATTGACTTACTTCCTTTCTGGCTTCCCCAGATGCATATTGACATTAGGAAGCCCACAACCCATAAGTTTGGAATTGAAAGGCCAAATCAGAGTGGTAGCGGTTCTTCCGATGATCCATTTGACTCTGACGAGGATGCTAGCGACGTTGAAGACTCGCGCCCGTCCCGTGATCCTTCGCAGAGATTGATTGGTGCTCGGGAGTCAATTAACGAGGCTGGCCGTGTTGAGAGAACCAATGGTGGAGGTGGGCCCGGAGGTATTCAAGATGAGGAGGAGCGTGCAGGAGACCCCGCTCCCGGGGAGGAGTATCCGCTCTACGATAGTGAAGATGATGACTCTGAAGACGAAACCGGGAGAAGAAACGGTGCAAGGAAGAGGAGCTTGGGGAAGAGAGTTAAAGGGGCTGCCGGAAAGATCTTGAGTGGCCTGGGAACGGTGGCTAGGCGGAACGCCACTACTACCTCCGTAACCCCCCAAGCGCCTGTTCAAGGAATAACGTATGCTCGAAAGTTCAAGGCGCCCCCGGGCAAACGTAACCCCCCTTTCCCCTGCCCTTTCCCCCGAGCACTATTGCTAACCGCCCCATAATAGGTATCTTCGTCCCCGTTCGTGTCGAACCAAAAGTCTACTTTGCCGCGGAGCGTACCTTCCTCTCGTGGTTTGAGTTCTCAGTCTACCTGGGCGCGATCGCAGGCACTCTCCTCAATTTCGGTGACAGACTATCGATATACTCTGCCTGGGGCTTTACCATTGTAGCTATCTTGGCTCTCCTGTATAGTATGGGACTTTACCTCTGGCGCGTAGATAAGATTAGCAAGAGACGAGCTGTGCGGTATCACGACAAGTATGGACCCACGGCGCTGTGCGGGCTTTTGTTGGTGGCGGTGGGGTTGAACTTTTGGTTTAGGTATGGGGAATTGGTTTAGGTTGGATGTCTGTTGAGATGGGGGTAATGAGGTTGGTTGGTAGTTGTGGGCAGGGAGAGGGGGGAGTGGTGGGTTATGTCTATCTGGGATTGAAGTTTTGTAGTAATGGTAGTGCTTTTTTTTTGCGGTTTTTCATTTTCCCTTTCTCTTCCTTTCTCTGTAGGCAGTGAGTGCTTGTATACCCGTGAATTGGTTGATTGATTAATGAGATGATGATGTGAAGTTGGAGGGATGGGTTGCAATTTGTTGAGCAAAGTCAAGTGAAGTGGTGTGAACTCCCGCGATAACTTAATTGCTTGTACTCGAGTATCGTACTCGAGAGAGTTACTGCACTGACCGGTATTCCATCCCCATGGCATAACAGAACCCGCACCAGTGTATCCCCTCGATCGCTGAGACATTCAGCCCAGTTTGAAATATTAAACTCTATCCTATTTGGGTAATCGGGAGTAAATCTACGCGGGTTTCTTGCTTCTGTCATGGCCATGCTCAGCAGTGCGGATTTCGCGGTATTCTGAGCACTACACCACACCAGAGCCACAATGTTTTCCCTCATCAAGATTATGATACGGTGCTCAAATAGGCTGGTGTTCAAAATTTTAAACTGGGCTGAATGTCTCCCCACCATTCCCTCTTGGTACTGTGCGAGTGCTGCACACGAGTACTCGTACAGTACTCGAGCACCGTACCTAAG